TAGCAAATATTGAAAAAAAAAATTTTTTTCCAGAATATCTTTTCAGTACATTTTCGAAAATTACACATTTATCCATTATTATTAATAAATATCATACTGATAAATTTACCTGTAATTTTCATATATTTCACTATTTTTTCCCCCTTTTTTTTTTTTAATCTCACATTTTTTTTTCCCCATTAATTAAATTGTAACATTCAATTTGATTCATATTTATTAATTGAAAAAGTAATTTTTATAAATAAAACTTTCAAGATAAACAAGAAAAGTGGGTGACATCTTTAGTTAATTACACGATATCACAAACTACCATCACCATTACCGCCATTTTACTACTATCACAAACATCTTCACCAACACTAATATCAATTCCCTAACGCATCATCATTGTTCATTTCTTTCTATAACATTTACCAGTTCACATTTTAATAAACTAAATTGTCCATTTCTTTCATTCTTTTATCCTTTTCACTCTCCAATTTTTCAAAACTATTTCATTGACATTAATAGTTTTTTTCTTTTTTGGGCACAAAAAGAAACCGATAAAATTTTATGTGTATTTATTTGTAGAAAGTTAAAGTTAAAGAAAGAAAAAAATAAAAAAAAAAGATTTAAATAAAAAATTCAATTCACACAAACACATACAGATACACACACACACACGCACGCACACACACACACACATACATACACATACATGCATATATATACACTACAACTTACAGTAATCATTATTGTTGTTTAATATGACATAATTCATTCATCCATTCTTTTCTTTTTTTTTCTGTAAATTTTATGATTAAATTTAATTAATCCCATAATAGTTTATTGTTCCAATACAATAAACCATTGTTCCTTCGTTTATGCTTAATTATTTGTCAATAATAATTATTTAATTTGTTAAAAATGACAATAATTTTAGGACATGCATTGTTAATTAAGCCAAAAATTTTCATCAACTATTTGCAATTTAAATAATTTAAATGAAAAAATTTAAATAAAAATAATTGTAATTTAAATGAAAATAATTTTTAAATTGTAGTTTAAATAAAAATAATTTTTTAAAAAAAAAGAAAAAATCACAAATCATTAAATATTATTGTTACAGTAATTAACACATTTATTTTTTTCCTTCTTATTAAATGATTAAGATTAAATTATCATTTAATTTTAATCAATTAATTTAGTATTTGCGATTTTCCTTTTTAATAAAATTTCATTCCGAAGCAAATTTATATTTCTCTTCTAACATTACAATTCAATTACTTAAATGATTGATTGCATTCGTTTCATCCGAATCATTTTAGATATTCTTTAAATGAATAATCGATCATAATAATTTGGATATTTCGGTTAGTTTAAGTTGAAAGAAAATAGTTGCATAATAGTTGAAAACTATCCGGCAATTGGTATTCTATTATTAATTAAGTTTCTAGTGACATTAATTATTTAATTAGTTATTTAATTGGATATCATATATAAATTTATCAGAATTCTGTATACATATTTATTTCATACTTATCATATATCTACATATCAACATATGTGATATTGAAATATTGTTCATCCAGAAAATATTCATTAATTTGGATTTAGGATAACAAATTGAATTTTGATTATTTTAATTAATTGAAAATTATTGCATTGTTATTAGGAAGTTTAAGATAATTTTCGAAAATTATTTAACAATATAATAATATGTTACAACTAACATTACAAAAATAGTTTCATAAAATTTATTTAAAAGCTTAAAATTACAAAATTAAAATTTTTTTATAATTTTTCTTCTATTTCATTAAAATTTCCAATTAGTTTACTTTTTTTTTTCAATCCAAATAAACCATTGATTTGCTCACATTTAATTAATAGATTATTGCTTTTTAATATAACTTTCTTTTATTTTTATTCATCAATTATTTTTCTTAAATAAATTCTACAACTAATTGTATTTTTTTTAAAATTATTACTGTTTGTTTTTTCTTTATTTTAATAATTTTTTAAAATAATTTCTATTTACTCTTTCTTAGTTTGTTAATATTAAAGCTAAAAAAGAAAAAAGAAGGAATTGTCGTTATTTCTTAAAATCTTAAAAATATAGAGCATTTATTTAAGTCTATTTGATGTATGAAAGTGCGGTTCAAAAGATTTTTAAAAAAAAAAAAAAGAAATGTCATAGTGATTAGCATAATGATCACCCATTCCGCTTTTAACATATTTTCTTCCTATTCTTCCATCATGAAAGCACATTGTAAATCTATATTTAAGCCTATTAAAGCCTTCTCTCATGCTTCTCATCCAACCTTTTTATGCATATACCCTAAATATTTAAGGCATAAAAGATTTTAGCATTTGATATTAGCATAAAGCTTTAACGGCAACAAAGAAGCAATGCGAAAAAGAAAAAAAAATTACCGTACTTTTCTGGATATATTCTCTTTTTTGTTTTTTCTTTTTTTTTTCCACATCATTGACAAATTGATTCATTGATGATAACGAAAAGAGTGATATTTTTAATCCAATTGCTTTAAATTTGTTTTCTTCGTTTTTTTTTCTCTCTCTCTCTCTCTCTCTGTCTTTCTCTCTTTTTTTCACTTTTTCCTCTTACTCTTACTTTTCTTCAAAAATCCTAAAGATAATTATCATTTAAAGAGAGAGAGAGAAGAAAAAAAATGGATGAATGCACAAATTTAGAAATATTTTCATACAAATACTAATCATCTTTGGTATTAAAATTTACATTTAAATATTTTTTTTTTTTACTTTAAATACAATCAATCTATCAAATTTTATTTTTCCAACTGAAATTTCAAAAATTTTTGAGACGATACAGTAAGGTTAAATTTATTTTGATCATAATGTTAGAAGGTCGAAATTTGTGTTCGAAAATGAAAATAATTTAATGTTGAAGAATTTGTAAAAAAAAAAAAAAGGAAAAAATATTTTTCTTTTTATAGAAAAAAAAAGAAAAAAGCAAAAAAGTGGTTAAAACTATTTTTACTCAAAAACAAAAAAAAAACAAAGTGATTGAAAAAATTTGATAAAATTTTTTGCATACAATTAAATTTCATTTCAAATAAACATTGGTAAAATTTATTGCTAATATTGCTAATACACATTTGTGAATGGAATTTTAATTTTTACAAATATATTATGAATGAAATTTCGATTATTTTAAGTATAATATAATAGGATTTCCGGTAATTGCAAATAAATTTGTCAAACGAATTTAAATTATTGAAAAAAAAAAATACTATCAAATAATTCAGGTTATTGCGAATATATTTTAAAAAAAAAAAAATTTTTTTCAAGTTATTGCAAGAATATTATAAAGAGAATTGAAGTTATTATAAATATGTAATAAAAAGAAATTTTAGTTTTGTTACTTGTCATGTTATGTGAAATTTAAAATTGTTACGAGTAATTCTATAGGGAATTTCGGTATTCAATATATTTGTTAGTATGTCAGAAGAAATTCAGGCTAAATATCAGTATACTAGATTTTTATTCATTATTTTATCATGATGGTTTTTGATAAGTTGATAACATAAGATAATTTCAGTAATTATAATTGGTTAAAAAAAAAAAAGGAATTGTCACCAATGAATAATTGAAACATTTATGAATCAGTTTTTTTTTTTTTTTTTTTTTAAATTATATTATCATTATAAAAATATCATTGGG